GGCCTTGGGCCATTAGGAGTTGGGCTTATTAAGTTAGGCTATGAATGGGAAGGGCAAAATGACCTTTTTGCCCTTATTTAGGATATTAGAATATTTGGACTGTTTATTATGTGTTAGAACCTTGATTATTAATTAGGGTTATTTTTGGAATATGATTAGTGTGAGGAGCCGTGTTAGTAGCAGCTCGAGTGTGCGGTTCAGTTATATTCTTTTGGAGGTGAGTCATCTTACCACAATCGTGGGTCGAAGGTACCAATTTCGGCCCACTGATTTATATGTGTTGGATGTATGTGATTATGTGACTATGTTTGATATGATTGAATGATATATAGAGCCAATCTGGGCTCAGAGTTATTATATACTCGGGGATTGATACGGACCCCGACACAACTACATGCTGTCATATGGGTTGATACGGACCCGAGGGTTGATACGAACCCGACACAGCTACATACTGTCATATGGGGTTGATACAGACCTGACACAGCCACATGTTGTTATATGTATATGTCTATTGCATGTGATATTTTGGGAAATCTCACTAAGCTTTGTACTTACAGTTATGTTTATGGTTTCAGGTACTTCCGTTACAAAAGGGAAGGGTCTAGCATGATCGCAGTGCATCCACCAATGTTCCACATTTTCTTTATGATTTGGATTTGTACTCTGATGATTACTCTCATTTGACATACTTTGTTTGGGATTGTTATGAATACTTGATGGTTTCCAATTAAATCAAAAATGAAAATTTTATCCAAGATTTTGAGGTGTTACAAAATATATAGTTTATATTTATTAAAGTATATTTATGTCTTTATCTTGTATATCAATCCTCTAACCGTAGGGATTTCTCTGTATTTATATATTATTGATATTATTAAAAGGGAAAAGGAATTTTACCAAACTTTATGGTATTGGAGCATCATGGTTGTGTCGGCTTAGGTCGGGTCCTCTCTCTCTCTCTCACTCGTTGGCCAAATTGTCATCGTCTCTTTTCTCCGACGATCACCATCCTTCTCCATGGATCCTTGTTGTCGATCAACATGATGGCACCAAATGATACCGCTAAATTAACAATGATACCCCTTTCCCCGAAGTTGTTGATGAACCCACTTGAAAATGGGTTAACATAATCATAAACAAGTGGATTTATAGCATATATCCACTAATCTCATCCAGATAATTGTGAAGCCGAGGCCCCTCCAAAATATAGGGATTATCTTAAAATGTATTCCAATAGAACAAAGCCGAATCTATATAACTTGTAAAGCTAACATTTTCCTTAAACCTCATGCATTTGAAACTCCCTAGAACATTTTTCCTTGAACCTCATGCATTTGAAACTCCTAAGACTATTCAACTTATACAAATTAATTTATGATTAATTGAAATATTATGATTTGTAACTCTTAAAACTCTTCAAATCATGCTATTTAATTGATGAGTTAAAGGAAATATTTAGTCTATATAAGAAATTTGTAGATTGCATATTGCATGTATGTCAACACAAAATGTTAAGGATTATTTTTGTAGGGTTTCAAGAGTTATATGAGTGGTTCCATGGATGTAAGAAAGCAATTGCAACTTTTCCAAATATAAATTCATGTAAACTCAAATTGGGTGCATGTAAAGTTTTAGATATTAACCAATGTTCAAATTTAGGTATGTTTGTAAATGTATATTTGAGATCATTTTTTAAGTTTATGTGTTATGTATCTTTCTATAATCACATGATGATGAAATGGGATAGATAATTACTTCTCATGAGCTTTTGGTAAATCAACCATCAAACTATTTATAAGTTAGAGCAATTAACTTTGTTAACATGTATGTATCTTTATGTTGTCTCTCTCTTTTTTATGTTAAGAAAATATATTTTATGAACAACAGAACATTATTCAACATGTATTTAATGTTATGTATATACTATGTTAGTTTCTATCGCTTATTTTCTTGTAAATAACATCGATGGAGTTTTTTATAATTGATTTTGATGAAAGAAGTTTACAATTATTATTCCAAATTGTTGGTGATAGACGAATTAGAACGGATGATTTTTAATATGATGTGACTTTATTGTTGAAAACCAATAACTATGTGTGTTATAAAAATGAATTCTTTCTGTTCTACCAAAACTTATATGGATGTACCCAATTTTAAATGTTTTTATAGTAATAAAAATAAATTATCTTATTACATTTGTCAATTTCCTTTTTTCCTATTCATTCTTTATCATAAAGAAAAATTAAAGAAATAAAATATTAATATTTTCATAAGAAAATATAAGTGATCAAAATATACCTCAAGTGTAACACTCCTCTTCACCTAACCCACTCTTAACATATATTTTTTAAGATTGATCGGAGTACATAACAATTAATATAGTTTTGAAATTCAAATCACAATTTTATTTGGATCGTTCATTCTCTTCCAATATTTCATAGCTTTAACGAAAAAAATGAAAGTATAATAAAAAAGTATGATAGTTTTTTTTAAATATAATAATGAAAAATTTCAAATAAGTAGTTTTTAATTAGTAAAAAGTAATAATTGTTTAAAATAACGTAAAACTAAAGAATAGATTATATTATATTATAAAATTATTATTATTTGAAATAATAATAATAATAATAATAATAATAAAAATAAAACATAATAATAATAATAATAATAATAATAATAATAATAACAATAATAATAATAATATAGGAAATAAAAAATATTTAAATAAATTAGTAAAAAATAACTATAGTTTAAAATAATTTTAAATAAAAAACTTAATTCAATTTGATTCAAACACAACTTTTTATATATTTGTTATCGTATGCTAAAATTATTTATAATATTAGTTACAACTTAGTATAAAAATTATTATTTCAATGATAAATACATATAATATTGTTTTTATAATATATAATTGTTAATATTTATATTACATTATTGGACACAAATCAAGAGTTTAAAACATTCACTACAACTGAATAGTTTTTTTTTATTTAAATGTAATTATAATTTCAAATTTAATTAAAATTTCATTTATATTTTCCACTACATTCAAAAGTTTTTTAAACTTATGGTTAATAATGTGCAATGTTTTTTTTTTATTTTCCACTTATTTATTATACACATTGTAGCTATATTAGTAGTATATAAGTAAGTCTTGATTAAAAAAAAATCATATGTTTGAAAAGATTTGTGATTCAAAATGAAAGAATTGAAAAAAAAATAAGTTTTGTCGTATCAATGGCTATTTCAACACAAGAATTTTATAACAATGTTTCTATATATCAAATGTATATTGATTTCTAAATATTCATTTTGAATGATTTATAAGTGTTTAATAAGTTTTGTTTGATGTAAATGTTATAATATTGTAGTGTTTTTATTTAGTAAAAGCTATAGTGTTTTTCATACTATTTGTTATTTGTTTTATATACAAAGCGGCATACGTTAACTATAAAGTGTGTTTTATATAATTTCCATAACTTAAAACGTTCTATAAAATCATCAAAAGTTGTAGTATATATTTTTTCATACTACTTTGTTTTTTTTATACACATAAATCAATATATGTTTGATATAAAATTTACACAACATAAAACGGTTTACAAAATCATGAATTAATAGTGGAAATAACTAATGATATAAATTTATTAAAATTAATAAAACTAATATGTTAACTATAGAGTTTGTTTTGCTATTGACATTGGTTTTACATGTATAAATATTAAATAACAATTTGTTAAATGTTATTATTTTAATTAAATAATTATATTCACGCGCAACGCGCGGGGATTCGACTAGTATGTATATACTTGGAGGAATAACTTAATAACACTAGGATTGACTCTTTCTCTGATGCATCAGATTATTGTGCCCGAATCAAAACCTTGGTGAGCCAACTTACCAAAATTAGAACGTGTATCTTAAAAAAAGAAACAAAATGATCATGCAACTCATATCCGGCTTGACCAATAAGTACGGCACGATTGCAACGTTCATCGACCAATCTGATCCCCTGTTAAGTTTTAACAAGGCCTACTCACAACTACTTCTCGAATAAAGAAGGTGAAATACACAAGAGTCCCACACACAACACTCTTTTGCCACTTAGGCTATATGGAGTCGATTGCTAGGAGTGCGGCGCTAGGGCTCGCCACCCTCACTACACACCGGTCCCCGACGCACGCTAAGGAGCTCGCCACCGGTTGGTCTCCACACGTTCTCATGCTTGCACACACATGCACACACAACGAGCTATCAATTTAGGATGTGTTTGGCACACCACAACTAGCTTATTTTTCGAACTTTTTTAAGTTGTCATGTTTATCAAACCAAAATTTATCTTATAAGCTAGTTTTTTAAAAAGCTACTTCAACTAGTTTTGTAGGAGTTTTTTAAAAAATTTTAAATGTACCTCTTAATTAATTATAGAAGCACATTCTTTTAAACGTCTTTTTATGTCAATTTATATTTTTCAGTTAGTTTTACCAAACGTTATTTTTTATCAGTTAGCTTTTCAGCTACAAACTAGCTTTTTATTTAACAACTAGTTTTTCAGCTAGTACGGCAAATATAATCTTAAAGTCTGATGAATGCTGGGCAGCTGGCTCCTACATCGAGCATACCGCAAAGTGTGATAGTTTTGTATCAACCGCTAGTCACTAAAATGGTGAACTATAAGCTAACTTAAAATCCAAAAACTTGCAATTTGAATAATCCAACAAAAAAATCTAAAAAGGTTGTTCCACTGTGGTAGAAATTACAAATAAGTGAATAACTACTACTATAGTATATACATGTCTTCATTGCCGATAATTTAAGACCGTTATTATTTCATTTATCTGTATGAATGTTTTTCTCGGCTAGGATGAAGGAATCCAACTGCCACTATAATACATCCTCCACAATATATTTTAACCATTTTTTGATATCAATCAGTCCTTTTCCCTATCGCTCTTATTATTATTATATAATAGTTTAAGGATTCTGATATTCTTTTACCATAAGATGCCAAAAAAACAAGGTACTACATAAAAATGACATATAAAACATAGCATGCAAATTAAAGTAAACATTAAGAGCTACAAAGTTATAGAGCTGCATACCAGATGATGTTGATGTTGATACAAATGGTGATGCCTTGACATTGGTTTTGTTAACTGTTGAGCAACTATCAGCCAAAAATGGTGATTCAGGGCAAGCACACATGGTTAGAACGGTATTATCATCGTAAATGCATTGGCCACCCGACTGGATACAGTCTCTGCAACCACTACCTTCCACCTTCCAAATCACATCAAACCCTTTTTGAAAAACCCGACCCAATACAGTTGATTTCAAGAACTCAACTGGAAATGGGATTACAACACTAGTTTCGCAATTCCCCGGACCTTGTATCCCGGGAACTAGAAACACTTGACTAAGTTCATCGTTAGCACAGAAAATAGAGCCGATCCCCATGAAGTTAAAAGAAAGTGGGCATCCAAAAAGGATGCTAATGTTCATGTAGCTTTTAGTGTAATCGAAAAGCTTGGGATCAATGGTGGTGTTTACTAGCTGTTGTGGACACATTGAGTTGATCATATCCTCTCGAACAATCTTCAAAATCTGGGCCGTTGGATCGATTCCCAGACCCTTATATGTAATGTTCATGATGTTGATAGTAGGCAGATTATCGTCACATTTTAGCTCAAAACCGGGGTACCCACAGTATGTAGGATCTTGGTGGCGCCGGAAAGGGTATTGGAAGCCTGAGATAGTCCCGCAACTGAATGAAGTGTTGCAAGTGCCATAGAATCCGGCTGAGTTGCTCGAACATTCTTGGATTATGATTAAAATGAGTAGCTTTAGAATACAATATCGGGAATTCATGGAGAATTTGGAGAAGATGAAGTAGTAAAGCTCTGAACTGAATGTTGAATAGGGTTGAAGACTAGGGAAGTGGGTGGGTTTTTGAGTGAGATTGCTTTAGGAATCACCCAACCATCAACTACCACGTTTGAAAAGTTGATTGATGGATATTTAATTGGGGTTATGGACCTTATGGTGTTTAATTATTGGTCTAAGATAGTACAATGTTGATTTATTAGCAACTTAATTAGTGATAAAGCTATTTTTATGTCCATGGTTTCCAAGTAGACTTTGGGTCTAAATCTATGCGGACATAACTTGATTTTTTTTTTCTAAATTAAATGAGTTTTAAATTTGTTTGAACTTCAACCTCCGATGTTGTAAAATCTGAAACTTGGTTGTTTTATAGAATAAGATTAATCTGATTACTCGCGCTATAGAAAAAGTTCGAAGTGTCATTGAGTTGTAGTGTAGTATTAGTGGGGTGTAAATTATAATTCTGATTTCTCAATAAGTTTTTTTATATTAAAAACATGTTATGAACAAAACAATTGAATTTGCTACCACACATGATACGAAGACATAGTGTGTAAGCATTGAACTTGTGCATCAACGTATTAAACAAAATTATGTAGCTATAAATATATTCATTAATAAGAATATTTATAGTAGCATGTCAATAAAATTGATTTAAATACACTAATCATTATGGTATAAAAATTAAGAGTTCGATTAGTTTATTCATGTAAACTATTTTATATGACTAGGGTATGGATGACAAAAGAATCCATATTCCAGTCAATTTGATTGGGAAATCCTTAAAGTTAAATGAGTGTAAGTGCAGACAGGGAACCCCAAACTAAAAACCGGGGATGGGGATGCAAACATACCATCTAGGTCTGTTGTTGGAACTAAAAGGATCATATATATGCTATTTTTAGAGGCTGAAATCAATGAACAAAATGGGTTATGTTGAAGTTAAAACAGGGGAGAGGAGTTGTAGGATATTATCTTACTTCAAAGTTGAAGTCAAATTACATTAGTAGAAGATGAGAAAATTAAATGGGTTGCTATATTTAGAATAAGTTTTTTATTCACCAAAGCCTAATTATATTATACACATTAACATTTTACTATATGTTGGTACTGTTCTTAACATCAAATCAGGCTACAGTATCTCCTCTTCCTCTCCGTCAAAATATAAAGAAATCGATAAAGGGGTAAAACTGATTCATTGATTTGTAAAAAAAGGACGAAGTGTATTTATACAAGTTGTCAAGAAACATAGATAAAAAAGAAAACTAGATAATGATTCAGATAAATAAGATAATGGTAAATATATATGGATGTAATCGAATGGATATAGGAAAGATCCAATGTTTTAAAAACCGCTTTGAACCGGTCGGTCGAAACGGTTGCACCGGGAACCGGAGGAGAGAACGGTTCAACTATCAACGGTTTTATGTCGATTTCTGAACCGGATTGAATTGGCCGGTTTTTAGAAAAACCGGTTGAACCGGTAAAAATAAACCGGTTGAACCGGTTAAGCCGAATAAAAACACATGAAAAAAAAATCATTTACATAATAAATTTTGGAGATTTTTTTTTTTCAAATCTATTTAGTTTTTCTCTAAATAAACATATTTGATAAATGTTATAAAGTGTTTTGATGTGTTTGTATTCATCTAAAACTATATTTTGTTTCGGTATTATACTTTATTTTCTTTCTGATTTATATAGATTGATGTAAAACACTAAAACTTATGATTATTTGTTATTTTAATGCATTTTAATTCATCTACAACTTATTTTTATGTGTAATTTTAATGTTTGAACTTGTAAACATCAAATTCATGATTTATATATGTATGTATGTGTAGGAAAATAGGAAAAACATGAAAAATATTGAAACCGGTTGACCCAGCGGTTGAACCGATTAAACTGGTTGAACCGGGAACCGGTCACCATACCGGTTCAACTAAAAAACCGGTTTTTAAAACATTGGAAAGATCCGATTTCCTTTACAGAATGGAATTCAAAGGCACACTTTGTAATTTTCTTCAAATTTTCTTCCTTTAATTTCGTGCTCTATAATTTTTAAGTCTAGTACCTAGTGTTAAGATTATAAAAAAGTTATTTGGGTAAATTGCAAAAAATTCACTATATTACCGCGAAATTTCGATTTTGACACCGAGTGATTTCTTTTTATTTTTTATTTATTTACTTTTTTTGTAATTATGTCACTATATTTACAATTTTGTTGCAATATCAACCAAATGACCGGTTCTTCCTATTCTCCCGGTAACCACTTTTCTCAAATTGCAAAAGAGTCACTAAGTTTACCAAAATTTCGATTTTGACACCGATTTTCAAACTGCAAGAAATCATTATATTACCACAAAATTTTGATTCTGACATCGAGTTTGTTTTGCTTAATTATGTCATTATATTTACAATTTTGTTGCAATGTCAACCAATTGATTGATCCATGAGATGTTATTATGGTTTAGAAACTCGATTTGTACAACAAATAAATCAATGTCAGTACAATGGTTCAAACTCACTTACAAGTCAGCGAAAAGGGCATAATCACTCTTTTAGGATATGCTATTGTGGTTTAAAAGATTAATTTGTACAACAAATAAATAAAGACCTCTATAAGGTTGATTTGTAGAACAAATAAATGAATACAACTACAAGGTCGATTTATTTGTACAACAAATAAATGAAGAAGCCTCCAAATAAATATCGTTTGCAATGGTCTCAGTGTAAAACTATGACATGTACTTGTCACGATTCTTGTAAAAAACATGGCTAAAGGTGTGAATATCATTTGCAATGGTCGTTGTTATTAATCTAAATTGTAGGTAAAATAATACCACAATCTCAAAAAGAACCTCTAGCCATGCAAATAAGCAAAATCATGGCTAAATTGTTCCGAAAAAACTGTGACCAAATATCATTTTGTACTAATACTAATTATGTATATTTGTTTTAACATTTTTTTAGGTACCTGAGTAAGAAGAAAGACAATCCCATCGGAAATCCTAAATGGCCGAGATTATGAAACACTTTGGTAATAACCATGTTGGTCATTTAGACAACATTTATATTTTCCTAAATGGTTAAGAAAATAAGGAAAATGACTTATAAGCCCAACAAAGTTTTCAAACCGTTCAAAAAACTCCAATTAAGTTTTGTCTTGTCACAACTAGCAATTTTAGGGTTGGAAATGGTGTTTCATGTACAAAAATTTCCTCTATGTAACCTTATAACATCAAATTAGTGAAAACTGAAACTACAATGTTATTTGAGTTCATACGTTCATACATTGAGAATGAAGTTAAAATAGCCTCATGCAAGCCCAAAAATTAGTCCAATAGCTAAGCCCAATCCATTTTGGGTCTTGGTCCAACAATTCCCGGCCCAACACCCTATTGGGCCGAAAACTCATTCATTGGGCCCTATTGGGCCGAAAACTCTTTCCTTGGGCCCTATTTGGCCGAAAACTCTTTCCGTGGGCCCTATTGGGACGAAAACTCTTTCATTAGACCTTATTGGGCCGAAAACTTCTTTTGGGCCTTCCATTGGACCTAAAACCCTATAGGGTTCGATTAGGGTTGAAAAAAAAGGAATGGGAAAAATGGGTTGCCACCTCATTTTTGTTCAACATGTAACAAGGCC